ACTACATAAAAATTGCTTTAGGAAGACTCAAGTACATTTAATAGAAATCAAAAGTTGGGTGCAAATAGCAATCGACCATAGTAGGAAGATTCAAGTACATTTATGAACTTCAACTAATTGGACCTGCAACAAGTTCCCAAATCTACAAGATAATTACTTATCAACGCCTTTAGAGGAAGAGATTGAGGGTTTATGCAAATTAATTGATCCTAAAGCATCAAAATAAAGCTTCAATATGTTACCAATACCTTGAATCGCTAATCAAGTCACTATTCCAATTATTAGACTATTATCAGCAAATAATAAAAGAAATAGATGGAGTGGTGCATAAAGTTTTGACCCTATGATTTATCCTCTATCCTATGCCTTCATTAATATTGTTAAGAAAAATTCTACATACAAAAGAAACAAATAAAGGGAGAGAGGGTTTTCCTAACGAATACCCCTCTTCAAGTAAACAACCTGTTATGACTTCTCATCCACAAGAACACTGAATAAGTACAAAGAGACACTATTTAAAACCAGTGTGATGAAATCATAAGGAAAACCTAGTTTCAACAATATGTTCTCCAAGACAACTTAAAATGTAACGGTTCGAAATTTGAAAGAAAGTAAATGATAAATTAAGTACGGAAGCGAAATAATAGTGTTAGGTTTTACATTTTTTACACAATAATTCAGGATACCCAATAAAGTTATGAGAATAACCATTCTAAAAGAACAACTAATAATCAAAGAAATAAATAAAAAGTAAACAAACTGAACGTGTTACTCGCAACCCTCTTGTGGATCGGGTTATGGATCTTGGTTATCTTGATCTGAAATGGTTAATGAAAGAGTGAGCTACACTAATCTAGTAAGACTGACTCTTCTTCTTCGGTGGGGGGTCTGACGGCTACGGTTAGGGTTTGGTGTGAAGTTGAGTATTATATCCGTCTCCTTTTAATCTGAACCATCCATCGCATTTGATCTGAACTGTCCGATCGCGTTTAAATAGGAAGTGAATCTAAACCGTTCATCGCGATTTAATTTGAACCGTATGATCGCTTTAAATAGAGAACGTCCACACACACAGAAATAAATCCGGATCGTCCGATCGCAATCATGCGGATTGCCAGCGTGACCTTCGACGTGACACCATGTCAGCGTGCCTTGCCACACGGCGTATTCCAATTCATTGAAGGTGCTGACTGGGCATTCTACGTGACACATTTTTTTTAAATTGCGTTTTCACCTCCAGTTTTTGATTTTTCTTTCAAAAATAACATCAGAACCCAAATTTTCATCCATTTTTTTTTTCAAAATTGTTTTCAATTTCATACTCCACCTATTTTTCTTCATTTTTACATTAAATAAAAATTTAAAAATTATATTTATACATTAAATTTAAATATATTAAAATTAATTAAGAGTGTTACATAAAAAAAAAAAAAAAAAAAAAAAAATCAATGATAAGCTTTATTAATATCCAATTCTAAAGCAAAAGATCCCTACTTAAGCTGTCTATTCTTTTTCAAGTAGACATGATCTGCTATAAGCTTATTTGCAATAAACGTAAATTGTGAATGATTTACAAAATAATTAACTTAGTGGCCAAAATAACGAATAAAAAAAAAATATATATATAAAAAGATATTTACGCAGTAATACGATATAATTAACAAAAATTATTTTTGGTTGAATAATTAATATTTTAATCCACAAAATTATTATTCATGGAAATTACAATAATTTAATATATTATATATTTATAATAATAATAATAATAATAATAATAAATGAAGAAAAGATGTTATAGCATGAGAATTTTCAGTTACTCCGACCGCAAAATTCTTTTTGATGTGAAATGCACAAAACAGGCAATACAACATCAAATATTCTTAATTTTTTTTTTTGTTTTGTTTTTTATAATTTTTGTTTTAAATCCTTAATTTTTAAAATAAGCATGAATTAATTAAAGTCATTTTTTAAAAGTTTACAAAAATAATTTGCTATTTTGAGTTTTTTCTATTAAAAATATTAAGTATCAAATTAATTAAAATTTTTTGATGTTATTTTCATGGTTCGTAGCAGGTGGGGGGATGAGTCACCTTTTTACACCAGACGACTTCCTCTTTTGAACCTCCTCCTCACCAACCTTGTTAAATCTATAATTTGATTTTATATTATCTTTCCTTCTAAAAAAAATACTCAAATAAATATTTTCTTCAAAATAACTTTTTTTATAACCCACACAACTCAAAACCTTTTTTGTTAATGCGATCAAAACTAAACATATAATAAATTATATAACTTACAAATCTTCCAAATTAAAGTTAATAAAAATGTGGTACCAAAATTATAAAGTTTTTTTTTTTTTTTTTATTTTTAGAAATAAAATTTTTAATAATGAGACAAGAGAGTACCTTGCGAAGAATAAGAGGCATGGCGGGCGCCCATAAGAGTGGCCCAGAATGATGAGGAGAAACTTTTTGTGTGTGGCGCCTCGGGCTGCTGACTCTGGGGATTCCATCTCCCTCCCTCCTCAATTTAATTCCTCTCTCATTCTTCCTTTTTCTTTTCTAATTTTTAAAACGAATTTTTAATTTCTTTCCATCTATATATATTACAATATTAAATCATCAACGACACGATTCTTTAAAGAGTCTCTTTTTCTGCTTCTGCTTTCTTATTTTAATTCAAGGAGCAGACCCAGATTCATTTGCATATTTTTTTGCCTTCTTTTTTGTTGTTTATCGCATCAACGAGGATTCGCTCTGAGCCTTTGGCCGGACTTCATTTTCGTAAGTTATTAATAAGTGTTTGATTTAATTTTGTTTTTTTTTTTCCTGAATTCTTTCCATCTGAGTGTCGAGTTTTCTTTCAATTTTTGTAACCTGCAAGAACGTGAAGTTTGCATGGATTCTGAGAATTCCTTTTTTACTGTCTTTGAACAAACTGGTGATACAACACAGTCGCCATGTGCTCTTCTGCTAAAACATTTAAACTTGAGATTTTCGCATGAAGCAGTGTATTTTCCCTGCAAAGCGGATGGAGTGGTAAGCATTAAAAGAATGGAGCTAAACTAATAGTTTGTACTGTGATATGGTCATCGTTCTGTTTATCCAGCAACTTTGTTTCCTGTATTACTTGTATATTTCTTTTCTGGGTTTAAGCTAAAATGTTCAGTAATACTTTTTTCTGGATTATTTTCTTCTTCTTTCAACCACTTTGACGCTGATTCTGATACAAAGATGACAACATGTGTTAAACGTTTCATTGGAAGGCTCTTTGTTGGTGATTATTTACTTCTAATCTATTGTTTAGCAGAGAGATATCTATGGCAACTAGCACTGCTGCAGCTGCAGGGGGCATAAATGTTTTCCAGTATGGAGTATATCCATGCGCTGGACAAGCTTGCAGGCAAACTTCTTGGATTACCAGTTTTGCTTTGAATGGATGCATGCAGAAAGACTTCTCATGGTATTGCTTAAATCTTGGCCTTTAATTCAATTACTCCATGGCTTTTGCTTTAATATTTTGCAAGAAACTCATTTTAACTCTGGATGCTAAGATTTTGATGGGAAAATGATTTTCCTTGTCAGTATAGGCATGTTTAATTTCTTTCAATTTAGTTATAGAGTTGGTATATTGTTACACAATGAGGTAGCACTCCTTAGAGTTTTATTTCATATATGGTGTCTTCATTGCTCTTAAAGTTGCTAATCCAATTTATTTTTGAACTTCACTGTGCTAGTATTCGTTAGAAGTTCTTAATGGTTGCAGAAAGTTCCCAATTTTGTAAATTTCTGCTGGACAAGAATGCATGTGCTGTAAAGCTTGTCGTTTGGGGAATGCTGTTTTTTCTTTTTTTACTAATAGGCTGTTACATATTCATGAATCTTATCAAATTGTGAAAAAATGCTAATTATCTTGAATAATAACATGCTTTCCTTCTAAATAGACAATAAAAAAGTTTGTGTAAATTTTCTTGATTGTACTGAGAAATCTTTTCCTTTCCTAGATATTAAATTCAGAGAAAAAAAGCAATTTTTTGATGTTCTATTGATCTTAAGCTGTTTATCTTCATATTTCTTTGGTGTTTTCTTCCAGGTCACGTGGAGTATCTAAGTTTTTAAAGATCCAAAGGAGTAGTGTTTCCTTGTATCCTGGTGGTGAAAACTTGAAGTCCCACAGGACAGTTGTCGCATCATCTTGCCTTGGGGATGGTTCCACAAAATATTATGATTTTGTTGTTATTGGTAGTGGAGTTGCTGGTCTCCGTTATGCCCTTGAAGTTTCAAAACATGGATCTGTTGCTGTGATTACCAAAGCGGAGCCTCATGAGAGCAACACAAACTATGCCCAAGGAGGTGTTAGTGCTGTGCTATGCCCATTGGATTCTGTTGAGAGTCACATGCAGGACACTATTGTAGCAGGTGCTTATCTATGTGATGAAGAAACCGTCAGAGTAAGTTCATCAAATTATCTTACATATTAACCTTTCCATCAATCATACCTTTTTACTGGAACTTTCCCTCTGAAGAATTAGAAATTCAATTAGATGGGAACAAGTCAAATTGAAATATATATGGGCTATGGCATCGTAAAACTATAGGAGATCAGTTGATTGTATCTCATAAATTGGGTTGAAAGGTAAATCATGGTTGGTTTCCTGGAATCTCCCTTATATTTTTTCACATTATACAAAAAAAAAATGGCCTTGCTTATGTGGATGAAGTCAATGTAAACTATATATGCATGCTGAGTTTTAT